GAAAAAAGCTTTTCTGACATTTTTCTACCTCTTGACTCTTTATATATATATATTTGTGGGTAATTTCAACAGACATGGTGTAACTTTATTCACCACACAGGGTCTACAAAATTTGATACGTATTCCTACAAGTCTCAATTCACAACTTGATTTCGTTTTTACAAACAAACCGCAGATTTTCGAAGTCCAGAAAAGTGCTCCTCTGAGCAGTTCTGATCATTATATCTTAAAAGTATCTCCCACTGTACATAGCAAAACTAACCGGTACACGCTTTTAAGAAGGCCTTCCAAGATAGTGAGTCAAAGAAATTGTTCATCAGAGAACCCAGAAAGGCGAAGATCAATGATTACCACCACAGATTTTTCAGTGTTTTCCGACAAGAACCCTTGAAATCTTCCATTTAGACATATGCTGTGTCTCCGAAACACGTATACAAGACCCTACTTCAGTCATCTCCCTCTGTTCGCCAGATCCAGCCTCATACTGACGCTTCACTCTCCGTGTGTCAGGCGATTCAGCATCCGAAGCTTGCGGTGTTGCTAGTGTTGGAATTGCGCTAAGTGTCAAGGTCAAGCTTTCACTTCTCGATTGCATCCTGGTTAACAGCCGACTTTGCACCGTACATCTGGATGGTTCACTACGGGTCAACAGCTACAGAACGAAGCGTCGGTGCTTATTCGTCGTATCCGTGTATGCACCGACAGATTGCGGTTCACCAGAAATGAAAGATGTAGTCTACAAGGATCTCTCTCAACTGCTCCAAAGTGCTCGGTCAACGAACATTGTGGCAGTCGCAGGAAACTTCAATGCTCAAGTGGGATCACTGGACGAATCAGAGAGGTTACTTGGCGGTTCGCATGCAATCCCAGCCAACAGGACTGCCAACGGAACGCCCACTCCAACTTTGTGCTGACCACGGACCGTTTCTGTCAAGCACGAAATTCTCGCACATAAAACGGCGCTGCCTTACATGGAGACCGAGAACTTCTTCACAGTGCTGGACTCAAATCGACCATATTGCCATCAGCCACTGCTGGAGAGGACCCATGGAAGTTTGCCGCTCCTACTGGCCAATATCCGTGGACACGGAACATGCTCTGCTAAGAGCGAGATTCGCTCTACGTTTGCAATATTTTCCCTGTTTTTCTTTTGGACGTTTATCAAACAATTTCCCATTACTCCTGCGTTCATTGACTGTAAATACGCAGATGACGATTTTTAAGTGGCAAAGCATCCAACCCTGAAGAGGCTTCAGAAACTCAGAGCAAGCTAAAGGACGTTGTTACTTGGTCCTGGTCCCGTTCTCTCTCATCGAATGATTCTAAATGTCAGGATGTTTATCCTCTTGGCCGATGTACCATATTCAGCCCCCACAGATAGGTTACCCAACCTCTCTGCCAATCAACAACACCTACTGAATTCAACAATAGTAAAATACCTTGGCATTACTTTATCACACAATATGTCATGGTCACTGCATTATTAGGTTAGAAAGATTTTATATTTCTTGATTCGATTGAGAATACTTTCTGTTCCACATAAGCTGTTTGTTAGGTTTGTGAACGCATGCGTGCTACCCCACTGGTTGTATTGCTCCCTGGTGATTTCCATGCATGTTGAATGGACTTTTATTTACTGGTGAGATCTCTAAAAGATATCTCTAAATGTTGTGACATTGTCAGGGATAAATTCGCTGATTCTATCATAGACGGACACTTACAAGCATGTGAAAATTTCACCGCCAAAACACTCTCAGACACTCACCACCCATTACAAAGGCTGTATCTACATCATCCACACGCTCAAGATTTGCACGTACAGCGTCTTAGCGTAACTCTGTTTTGCCATATCTAGCACGTCTACTTATTGACAAGTAGAAAATTTCCACAGAATTGCGTAACTACTTGCTTCATTGACAAACAATCTGCTGCTTGCAGTTTCATTATGTACGACTTTGTAAATTTGAATCCGCAAATGGAGTAAATGCTGCAAATTCACCCATTTGGATGCATAAAGCTACAACTGACTGACTAACTAAAAGATGCATACAATAAGTGATTATTACCATCGTAAAATCTATGCCCTCCTCAAGATTGATTGTGCATATTGGCGGTTAGAGTAACTGTGGTGTGGGTAATCGCTTTCATTTGGCCCCATTGACAACGAATTGATTCTTACAACAGTAACCTCAAAGTACACGGAAGGATTATAAATAAATAGAGAATAAGAAACGGATTGTTGATAAAATTGTGCAAACGTGATCTACTTTGCATACTTTGGCTGGACACCCAAGGAGATTGTAAAAACGTTCAAAGTAGCAGTTAGTCCGATATACAAATCGGACTGTCTCCAAAAGCCCCAGTATGGTCGCGGGTGGGTGTCTAGGGTTGCGGCTGGTCACCCTGCTCTTGCGTCTCGCGAAATGCTCCCACACGACAAAGTGTCTCAAATAGAATCTGCTGAAAAAGCCCTACTCTTGCCTTCTCGTGGCAGAGGTGTTTTCCCACCAAAGTGAGGGGACGAAAAGCCGATATCCGGGTTGGTGGACCACGGGCAGTTCATCTAGGGGAGTTGGCCAAAAACCCTTATTCCAAACGAACCACGAGGAGGCGTACGAACCACACCCACACCTTTTCAGTTGTGGTAGTGGTCACCGGCTCAGTTGGGCATTGAGGTGTATTGGGCTCCTTGGACGTTTGACCCCGTCCGACGGGTGTATGATCCGATGAACTGGACACCGGCTCTCAGTGGATTGCGGTTTTCACACACCGCCCCGCTGCCTTGCGGGTCTGGCTTCGGCTAGCCGAAGGCTCCAGTTGTGGATTCATTAAGAAAATTCACCTGCCTTGGCCTGGTTAACCTGGCTGTATTCAGCCCACAAGCCAATCATGGACCGTTTATTTTTTTATAAAGATTATTGTACCATGATTTGTTTGGCACACAGTCTGGCCTCAGACAAGTGTGAAATATAGTACTAATACATATTGGACTAAGCCATTTTCATTCGTTCTCATCTATCTACAATGTCAATGTGCGATTTAGTCAACTAATACTTGTTTTTTGTCATTGATCGAAATACATGTCGCAACCTGAGTTGCTTAAGGCAATTTTTTGACCGTCGAAGATGTCCTTGCAAAGTCGTTTTGTGTATGTATCCGACACAGACGTGGAAAGAATTCACACGGGAGAGAGAATGGAGCCTTGAAAAATCAGTACAAAGCACATGAATTGAACTTTCCGAGTAGTTTGTTGCTGGAGCCAGCCACAGCGAAGGCATTCATGTTGATGGTTGATAGGGCACTGACGAAAGGGAACAGCTCCGTCACCAAAGTTCAACACAATAACTACGACCAGGGACCAAAGAGCCCCCAAATGAATAGTCAAAGAAATGTACTTTTACTTCGCGTAGCACGTTTTAGCAATGTGGCCAGGTGAATCAGCGGTGGTGCTGAGGCTGATCAACGCTGGGTCATATCGATCGGTTAAAGTTAGTAACGTTAACACCACAGGACACCATGTGGTACGAAAGCCGTGAAAACGATCACTTGGCTTTAGATGAGGTAAGCGACATGAGAGCCTGTAGATCGTATTATTCAGATAAGGCTATGCTAAATTAATTTTTCTAAATACAACCAACTGGTGAATTTTGAGAGACTGTTTTGGTATTACATCCTCTAAATTTGTTCGAGTCTATACGAAAAAGATGGGTTTGGTTTTCCACCGAAATTTGGACAATTGCTAAAAACTCACCTCGTATCGTATACATTGGAATTCATGTCGAATTTGAAAGTCGGCGCAAATGTAATTCTGCCCTCACAGAACCCACCAAACGTGCGACTTGTTAGGCGTTGTTTCGCTAACTGGAATAGGAAAGATAACAAACTGGACTGATCAGCTTGTGCGTCAAAGTGCAACGTTGGTTTATGACAACGGTAAACAAATAAGTAGCTCTTTTTTATTACACACCTAAATATGATGAACAGCAGACATCATAGTCATAGTCACATAGTCACGAGGACCTGCTGTTCAGTGGAGGAGACCGGTAACTTAAGCCCCGAGACTTGGAGTGGCGAACCACATAAGGCCCCCATAGGTTGGGCGCGGTATTGAACTGGACGACAGCAGAGCAGCCTATCACNCCACCACCACCACCCATAAATGAACAAATCAACAGACCAAACATAAAATAGATAAACACGATCTTACTGAATTGGGATTCGAACAAGAGCGGATAAAAACACTCAGTAGGTGTTTACTGCATTCTGAAAACACAGCAGGTATAATTAAGCATTTTTTCCGAAGCTCTTGAACCCGAAGTGCGGACGACTGATGTGATGACGCTAGTGATATGATATGAGGAACATGAGATTAACGGTGGCTAGCTAACCATGTCCGTTAGAACTGTATCACATAACCAGGTATTAAATCGAGACTATGATTAACTAGGACCTAAAATGAAAGGATGAATTTTCAGAATCGAATGCAAGTCAAATCGGGATTGGTCAGACAGACAAGTGTCATTTCGGCATTGCTCCACTTACAACATTCAACTATCATCACTACATTCAGAATTTTTTGCTGAGATGTTTAATCAAGGTTGCGTAACTTTTTAACGGTTTTCCACAGTAAACTAACCGTGTTCAATTACATGATTTGTCACAATGAGGCAGACAAGCCCTTAGAACAGATATAATGGGTAATGGGGGGTTGTTGTATCTCATTCGCCACCAATATGGAACTTTTTATATTCTAGGAAGGAACGCTTGAGTTTTGAGGTCGTAAAACGCAATAAGACTACGACTTCAAGTAACGAGCTGTTATAGTTCTCTGACGGCCGTTTAAAATCACGTTGCATTCGATGTTGGTTCTTGTTGTGGCCAAAAATGAGGGAATTAAAGAAATACGCATCGGTATCGTTGTCTGGTTTCGACGAGGATTTTTGAGAAAGTAGGGAGTTGATAGAATAAGAGAATAAACCAGTCCGAGGCAGGGTCCTCACCTCATCGAATCCTAAAATGTAATCGTATTCCATGTGTTCAATGTGTTCACGAACTTTAGCAGAATCTAAGCCGCTGATCCGATAATTGAGGTCGCCGAATACGAACACGATACTGTAAGAGGGTGAGTGGGAAAAGGGTGAAACAGATAAAAAAGTATGCATACGTTGATAAAATGACACGAAGGAGCCAAACAGTTGATGACGGTTAGGAGTAATAGATGAAATGATAAATAGCACGATTATGATAATATTTTTTTGGTACTGAATTGAGCTAGGTGATTCGACGGAGAGCGAAAGCTGGGTTAGAGGCGAGTCAGTGACAGTAAGAGAACACTCGATCTGAATTGGAAGATATTGTTTTACTGAAGTAACCGTCTTCAATTGAAATAACTAATTTTGGATCATGAAGTGGCCTACTCATATACATATGGTGGACACTTCATCAGAGTGAACTTTAATTATCTGTGGAACTGCTCGGTTCAGTGTGCCACAGTAAACAGTTCCTCATCTTGAGGGTAGCGTTGATACGGATAGGAATCGGTTCTGAAGGTTTACACCATATCGATTTATTCGCTTTGACTGCGGCATTGTTCTCATCCGAGAACATAAAAGAATTACCGAAATTTTCGCAGTAGTTATATTAAAACCACGACATCTGTGTGTGCAGTGGAACAGCATGAACTAAGTGATAACGGGAATGGGATCCATGCTGAGCGAATGAACATAAAATGTAACACTGTCNAGCCTTGGTTTGGCCTCACCCAGGTTGAATTTCGCGGATGGGCTTTTTGTGATTGGAATTCGCACAATAATATGGACAATGTAACTCATGATTTTCGATTTCCGAAGGTTATAACTGGAAACGCTGAGTGATCAGTAAAATAAGCCAGGGTACAACAGCTGATCTAAGAAATGTTAATTCAAAACAGCGGTGAGAAGGCATGCAAACAGAATAAGGTAACCTGATGGGGCGATGTTCAAGATCCCGAGGGGAGATTCAAGTTCAGTTGATCATTTTTTGCAAATCAAGCAGTAGGAAGACAACAATAAGTTACAGTATAGTTAGTGAAACGGTCTACTGGTATGCGCTTCAAGTGCGCAGTAATGCTACAAGACTAGGTGTTCTCTACCCCTATGCTGAAGCTCGATGGTTGGGAAGCAACTACATTGGAGTGCTTCTACTACATAGGCAGAATAAAAAATGGTGACCGCACACGCATCAAAGGCCCAAACGATGATCACAGAAACATTTCCAATGCCAAAATTAAGTTTCTTTTTAACTTTCAACCGAAAGTTTGACGTAATTTCACGCAGATACAACGGAGTGAGCGTGCAAGGGACCTCGAAGAAGGCCGTCGTGTTCTGTGAAGAATTCATCGTCACACTGTATTCAAATCAGCAGGCTTAGATGATTAAGATACGTAATGCCAAATAGTAATAGAGAGCATCGCGACTCCCTTACAATAGCCTACCCAGATTGGAGAAGATTATATGAAGGATAATAAATAACGTGGAGACGAGACATAAAGAGATGCACAGAAATATTGGGTGGATTGAAGGTCTCATGTCCTCCAAGTTGGGGTCTAAAAAATTTGGCTGGAGAAACTGAAGAACGTGACAGTAAACCGCAAACAGTGGCGTTCTTTTTGTCACCTATTACCAAGCAACATTGGTTGGAAAGTGTGTATGCATAGGTAGACTGTACCATAGGTGTAGACCGCGGTGGCTACATTTCGTTCCCCCTTCTTCAAAATAAGCTCACTCGCTGTCCGCCTTACATGTACCTACTTACCTCGTATACATTGTGAACTAGGAAGCGGTTAATGTCGTAGGCTTCATTGTATTGTACTATGCAATGATTATAACCGATAAATTTCAGTCTTCGGACTTGATTAGCAAAATGGTCAATGGGATCAGGAGTGGCGTTGAGTCGGAATACAGAAAAGTTGTCTTTCATACTGTACTTCAATGTGAGCTCCGGTCCCGCCAAATCTACAAGGGTTTGACAAATGCGGGAAAACAATGCGCGAGAATAGAGACAAAATCTGATAGACGCCTTCGCCAAGTTCTGTTTCCATTGGTAAGCGTAGTCCTATAGGTCAAGGAATTCGTATTTTAATCAAATAATCTGACCGTGGGAAAATGATTAAATATCACCGGATGAACGCATGAAAGAACACACTACTGCCGCAGCTAAACCAACTTGAAACAACTGGACTATCGTTCTGAGCTTTCTATCAATTCCATTTGTTTTGTACAAAATAATAAAGTAAGTTTTGTCCATTATGTATACCCCCGTGAAAAATTAGTGGAATTTTTGATCCCAAACGAACATATAACTTACTCGTGTGACTGGATACCCAAATGATCGACCAGAGTGGGATTTTTCGAGGCTGCGCGACGTTCAAAAACCATTTTACGTTTAATTTCTTGAAAATCTTGATTTCGCCGTTCGAGATTCGCCTCACCAGCTGCCAGATGGCAATTAACAAAGCAAATGGCCGTATTGTACAAGGTCAAACGTAAGCCAACCGCGCCTTTATTACCCTGAGTGGAAAGGCAATTTGTGGGCATAAATAAATAACGAATGGGTATGGTATGCAATCATACTATGATGACTTGAAAAGGATGAGCATTAGCGATGTGAGAACGATTGAGAAACAAACTATACAAAAGATTGCAGTTTGAAGGCGAAAACGCGAAAATTCTACACTCAATCAGGCTGTTGCTGTGCTGTCTCCAAAAGCCCCAGTATGGTCGCGGGTGGGTGTCTAGGGTTGCGGCTGGTCACCCTGCTCTTGCGTCTCGCGAAATGCTCCCACACGACAAAGTGTCTCAAATAGAATCTGCTGAAAAAGCCCTACTCTTGCCTTCTCGTGGCAGAGGTGTTTTCCCACCAAAGTGAGGGGACGAAAAGCCGATATCCGGGT